CCCCAATTCTGGCCTTGATTTCTATTTTGTCGAGCGCCTCTTTTCTGGTCCTCGTCGGATCTGCGCTACCCTAGTACTCGAAGCCAGGATGTACCCTCTTTTGACAGGGCTGGATCCTTCGGCTGATGAAGTTCCCGACCACGCTTGGACCATCCAGCTTTCCCCATGGGATCAACCCGAGCAGTTCTGTGATCTACTCCAAGTGCTCGGGCTTCTCCGACCAGCTGTTCTTCTTCTTCGGAATCAACCCCACGTCACACAGGGTGATCGTGTTTGGCTCTTCGCGGATGTAGAACCATTTCTTGTACCATTCGTCTAGTGAGATGTTCCATGGGCAGTGCAGGTACTGGGCCTTCATACCGTCACGCAGATTGAGGTATACGCCTCCGGCTATCTTCGAGCCTCCGCTCCCTTTCTTCCGCAGGCAGAACAAATGGCGAAAGAGGTCGAAATGGGGCTGGAAGCCACCATAAGCCTTGCAAAGATGGATGAAGGTGGAGACAAGAAGAATCGAGTTGGGATGCAGATTACAAATCCCAATCTCATAATATAAGCAGAGCCCCTGAAGGAAAGGGTGCACTGGAACCCCAAAACCCCGCTTGAAGAAATCCTCGAAAACCACAATCTCACCTGGTTGTGGATCGGGGAAGCTTTCTCCTTCCGGCGCACGCCATCCCGCGAGTGCCTTGTTGTGGAGCACTCCCATGGCGACGAGGTCTTCGATGGTCTCCTCATTGCTCCTTGACTTCCACCACTCTTTCGCCATGACTCCGCCTTTCTTCTAGGCGTTTCTCTTCGCCATTGATCTGCCCTTGTTAAGAGGGTGGATGCGGTGGAGGAGGGATTGGTGGTGATTTTCGGAGGAGTAGGGTTCGGCGAGAGGAAGAAGAAGGTTGCGGCGGTGAATGACAATGGGGATCGGTAAAAAGTAACTTACCAGCTCTATATTATAAATAACCAAGGGCTCCGTCGTTTCGTCCGCCCGAGATTCTTGGGAGACGTGCGCACGCGCCGTAGACGGTTGTTTTCACAACCTCGAGATCTACGCCAACAAACGCGCCTCTTCGTTTCCAGTGTACGCGCCTCTTCGTTGATAATGTGAGAGGGCCCACACTGATGCACCTCCATACAGGCGCCAAGCCACTGTTTGCCAGAAAGAGTAAGAAGGCAGAGTGATATGTTATATCCGTCTGCTTTTTTGACCAGACGTGGAAGATTGGATTTGACAGAGTAAGGAGATAAATAAATACACCAAATAATAATACAAGCGGCGTTCTTTTCTTTTGGCTGCATATCTTGAGCTCAATGATGGCCCAGACCACTGCCGTGCTCGGGCATTGCTCAGACCACTGCCACGCTTGGGGACTGCTCCGGCTACTGATGTGCTCGGGGACTGTCCTGACCACTGCTCGGAGATCGTTCTTCTCGGCTACATGTGATTTGTACTCACATACAGTTGAGAGACATTTATTTAGACCTTGCTACAAGGCTCATGCCTCGTCTTCCAGCAAGCTCGGGGACTACATCGGTACGATGCACCTGTCGGTGCATCTTGTATTGCTTGTACGACGATTCGTTTCTTAACTTAACTGGAAATTCTTTTTAGACCCTGGCACCACGTGCCTACGTCACCTACTACCAGGCTCGGGGACTAAGTGGGCACACTTCACCTTGCGGTGAATGTGTTTGTTTTTCGACCCCTACGCCTCTGATGATCAAGGACGCTACGCTCCGAGACGCACTTACATTTCTGTTCAGAAATACAAGTGGGCACACTTCTCAGGACGAAAATCTTTTTCTTTTTTCTTAAGAGCACCATATATTCTTCGGACAACCGACTTCTCCGGCGACAACGGTGGTCAGAGACGTCAAGGACTCAAGCCTTACTTGTCGGAGAAGGTTAAAATGGCGTGTCGCAGCATAATACATGGTGCTCGGGGACTAGCTGTGGGGGTATTAACCCCTATACCCTTATGGCTAAGCTTGGGCTGGCCCGGATCGGTGGGTCCGGTCCACCAAAAGACGACGTGCGGCCCGGTTAACCTGATCGGAGTCCCGCGCAAGGAGTCAAGGCGGATTTGGCGATCAATCAAGATCCTGGTCGGTTAGAATAGGAATCCTTATCCGGCCACATATGACAATTGTAACTGGCTAGGATTAGTTTCCAGATCTGTAACCCTGCCCCCCGAACTATATAAGGCGGGCAGGGGACCCCTCTAAAAAACATCTCTCATTGACATATAGCAATACAAATCAGACGCAGGACGTAGATATTACGCCTTCTTGGCGGCCGAACCTGGATAAAACCTTGTGTCTGTCTTGCGTCACCGTCTTGTTTGTGGCTTGCGCATCTGTCTGCCGACAATCTACTACCTTGGATATACCCCTAGGTAGACTACCGACCATATTTCATCGACACACGCTGGATGCTCCCTTACTTGCAGTACATGTCTATCAGTCCAGTAGAAACTTGCAGGTCTGACTGCAGTCCCATTGCTTTCACATGCTCCTCAACCTTTTGGCCAACATTAGCGGATCCCAAATTAGCGCACGCTGAAAGAACCACTAAAACAGTTGCTTTATTTGGCTCTACCTTTGCACACAACATAGCATCAAATGTTGCCAAAGCCTCATCCAGACAACCACATTCAACATATCCATTCAACATCGAAGTCCACATGATTACATTCTTCCATTGAAGTGAATCAAATACCTTTCTAGCTGCCAAAAGATTCCCACACTTGGAATACAAGTTTACCAAGGCTGCTGCCAGATCCTCCTGACAATCAAAACCAGCCTTGATAACAAGGGCATGCACGCCTTTAGCCACCAACAAGTTTCCAAACAGCATAGCAGCCGTGATTAGATTGGCAAGCACAACTGAATCCATAGGTTGCTCTGTCTCTCGCATGCTGCTGAACAGTTCAAACACTTCCATCCAGTCCCCTGTCTGCGAATAAGCCGATGCCATGGCGCTCCAAGTAACCACAGACTTGTTCTCCACACGATCGAACAGCAACCTTGCAGAGTCCAGCTGGCCACCACGGACAAGCATGGTGAGCACCGAGTTCGAGACAAGTAAATCCGAGTCAAGCCCCGATTTGATGGTGTGTCCATAGACGCACACCCCAAGGTTCCTCGCGGACACCGAGTCCGCACACCCGGACAGAAGGCCGACGAGCGTGCTCCCGCTGGGCCTGACCTCCGCGCGCCGCATAGCGTTGAACACCTGGACGGCCTCTTCGACCTGAGAGCTCCGTCCGTATGCCGAGATCATGCAGTTCCAGACGACCAGCGTCCGGCTCGAGCACGGCGTTTCATCGAACAGGCGGTGCGCGTCGGGGAGGCTGCCGCACTTCGCGTACATGTCCATCAGAGAGGTGCGCACGAAGGCGTCACGAGAGACGGCAGCGCCCGCGAGGAATGCGAGGGCGTGGATGGCGCGGCCGAGCCCGGGCAGACGCAGCGCGGCGCAGGATTTGGCGAGGGAAGGGAAGGTGGAGGCGTCACCGCGGCGAGGAGCGGTCCCGCGTAGAGGCGGAGGCAGTGGGCGTAAGAGCCCGACGCGGCGGCGAGCTGGATCAGGCGATTCCAGTGGTTCAGGGCGGCGGCCGCAGGGGCGGTGTCACTCATGCGGTCATGCCGAGCGGACGGGGGAGCGAAGACCATGAGTGAGTCGCCTTTGGAGAACATCCCTCCTTGGAACGCGGGATACGAAAAATATAGGAAGAACATTCTATTTGCACTTTTAGAATTCTCGAGAAGAAAATAAAAAATAAAGGCATCAAAATGGTTAAAGGTATCTCAAAATAAATGCATATCTCGCTTATCGAGTAGTCAAACTTTTCAAAATTTGAACAAATATATATATGTACTAATATTTATGATATGTAATGAGTATCTCTAGATTAGCTATGAAATATACTTTCCCAATAAGCTTATTTAAAAATATAAATATTGATATTATTTTCTCTATACTTAGTTAAATTTTAAAAGAGTTTGACTCTTTGATAAGTGAGATATGTATTTATTTTAGGACAGGACGGAGGGAGTACAGTGAATCAAACGTCAAGTTGGAAAATGCAACCGGGAAGGTTGAGGATGAAATTTGAAAGAAATATCACCATCACTTTCAACCACATGTGTGCATTCCTTATAAATCTACAAAGTTTATCTTAGAGGATAGATGTAGTTTTTTTAGGTCCGAACTGTTGCGACGGATATTCCGGGAGTGACGGCCAGACACTCCAACAATTTAGTTCCTATCTGCAATCCTCCTTTTATAAGAATCTCATGACACCTTCGTGTGTAAGGGGATATGTCACGACTCAACGTGCATTTCCTGCTGTGAGATTGTAGTGTTTGAACTTTGAAGATCAGTGCCTTGTGAACATTGGTGTTATGAATCTGTTGATTGCTTTATCCCTAGATTTTTCATTGACCAAATCATAAATACTTTGCTCATGGATTCATCCTGGTGTGCAAGGCCTTCTGGCAAAGAAGCGTCATCACAAAATGTTTGCAAATCCTTCACACCTCATTCATATCCTTTTTCTGTGTTTTGTTCCCTTACTCTGTTTTCTACTCCTTTCCAAACAACACTTCAAGAATTTGGCGGTTTGGATACTCTTCCATTCCAAACAGTCCTTCAAGAATTTGGTGATTTGGATTGCTCACTAATCAAAAATAGAAAACGAGAATGACTCTCTAGAATGCACACAAGATATATAAAAAAATTGATAGAGAGTAAACTTTAGAATGACTTTTGGAGGTGCTCTAACCTGTAAACAGGAACTAACTTGTCTAGTAAGTATACTTGAAAACATATTCTGATATTCATGTGGACTCAGATGAAAAAGTTCACGGTGTGCACTCATCTGCTTATTTGAAAACGATTATTTACAAAATTAGTTCCGGAAAACTCTTTACAGTTGTATCCACTCAACCAGAGCGTAGCACGTGTTCTGGAATTAGAGAAAGGTTAAAAAATACTGCACGGCTCAAACGGTGAAACCAGTACGGCTACCGCCTGCATTAGTCACGTCTGTTTTCGCCCTTGATGTCGATGAGCCTGATTCCCTCTCTTGCTTGAAGGCCTTTTTCAAGAAGAAGACCATCGCGAGCTGCGCCCCGAGGTTGGATCGGCCTCGAGATAGACAAACGATGCTTCCAACCAGCAAAAGCCCGCTTGCAATCATTTGGCGAGACGACTTCTTCCCCGGAAGCTTGCATGGTGAAGTCCTGGCCGTCGGTGTTGAAGGAACGACCGATGCTGCAGTATTCTGGGAAGCAGAAAGGCTTGCATCTGCGGCCTCCAAGTCCTGGGGAAACTGATGTGCAAACAGGCTTAGATTTGTCAGATCGTGAACGAGCAGGTCAAGATAGTATAACAGTACTCAAGTTATGTGGTTCCTTGATTCAAAACTTTTAAAATCAGCTTCAGTGATTTACATTGTCCTGCAAACATACGTGAGAAACATAATAATTAAATAAAACGTTTGCCTCCTAATTCATCACAGATGTGCACATGACAGAAAAAACTACATATTCCATAATTCGCTTCAGAAGGTTAACAAAGGAAAAACTACTGACAGCAAATTTAAATATACTAAACCATCACCTTCTTCATAAGTTTCTGCATGGTCAGAATCGACAGTGATGGACTACAATACTGAGGATACCGACGTAGAGCATTGTTCATTTTACATATGTAGCTCCAGATGCCCTTGGAAAAGGCTAGCTTTGCCATCTCTATGTTCATTCCATTGTCCTCATGATGCAGCACTGTGATTTGGCATGCATCCCTGCCTGGGACTGTATATGTAGAAATGAAAAGAATGTAAACATGTATCCCAAAGGTTTTACACATGAAAGACTTAATTATGATAATATTTCATCCAATAAAATAAAAGCAAGACTGAAATGCCAGTTCAAAGTTTAAATTTGCACAAAAGAGGCAAAAGACATAAGGTACAATTCACATAGAGAAATAAGTGAGGAACAATTCACACTGACAACAAAAAGAGGATGTCTCATCAGGTGGAAATAGAAGAGACTAGTATTTTAATTCATAATAACACAAATAATGTGATAGCAAGCAACTACATCATCAAATTTGAGTCTGCCCGACACTTCCTGTTTTTTTCTTAAAAAGCTCAATACCCAAGATAAAACAAAGACAACATTAGGCTCAGTAAAATACCAAAATGAAAGGACTTGCACAAAATTTTAAAGATCACTTACTTTTCCTAATACACCATCCTGATCTTAGAAGTCGCACTCTAACAAACTTTCTCTGCCGTGCCGCAAGAGGGTGTTCACATTCCTGTCAGGATTAACAATTTACGCAAGGCAAATTAAAAAAAAAATGCAAAGCTGGTAGAGAGTGCAAATGAAACTCAGATGTCACCATCAGCATCGCCATGTACAACACATATAAGGTAACCCAAGCATGAAATAAGCCTGCCAGCTTAGCTCATTTCCAGTAATGTTAACTCATAATGAGAGAAAAAGGATGTACATCAGTTGAAAAGTTTTTTTGGCAATAGCTATGAAGATTCATATTGCAGTCCAATACAGCAGTTATGGTCTCATTCACTTCATTCTGCATCAGCTCAAAAACTGCTATGACCTCATGACTAACATAAGGTTTTTTCTTCTTTTTTTCATTTGGAGAACATCTGAAGCATGTGATGCTATGGCCATGGAAGTTGCACATGAAAATATGCCAAACATTCCTGTCAGGATTAATAATTTACCCAAGGCAAAAAAAAAAAATGCAAAGCTGGTAGAGAGTGCAAAGGAGAATCAGATGTCACCATCAGCATCGCCATGTACAACACATATAGGGTAACACAAGCATGAAATAAGCCTGCCAGCTTTAGCTCATTTCCAGTAATGTTATGCTCGTAATGAGGGAAAAGAGGATGTACATCAGTTGAAAAGGTTTCTGGCAATAGCTATGAAGATTGTGTAGTCCAACACAGCAGTTATGGTTTCATTCACTTCATTCTGCATCAGCTCCAAAACTGCTATGACCTCATGACTGACATAAGATTTTTTTTCTTTTTCTTTTTCTTTTTCACTTGGAGAACATTTGAAACAGCTGATGCTATGGCCATGGAAGTTGCACATGAAAATATGCCAAACATTTGAGGAGCTGTATATGGATTTCTTTCTGGTGAAAAGATATGATACCTCTGATGCACATAGTATGTAAAGTTAAATGAAGGAAGGTGGGGTAACCTTGATAAAGCAATAGAAAGACTTGTCATTTGCTTCCCAGACTCGCCATGCCAATATGTACTCTCTTGGTGTCAGAAGTGGAAACTTCTTAATTGTTCGCCCTACCTCCACTCCACTGTTCTCATAATACTGCAGCTGCTCATGTTTTGTGACAGTGTTATCCCACTCCATTCTGTACTCGTTATCCATGTAGAAGTCCCTCAACTGCTCAGTCGAGCATCTCTCATATGTTGTAATACTCAGATATTTAGGAGGGCCAGCCTGCAAGAATAAAAGTATCATCCAAAATGAGATGCATGACTGTATGAATTATTTGTCATTGACATTGAGTGGCAAGGATTGATAAAGCAAGAGACCGGATGCCATAGAAATATCATAAGAGCACAACAACAACAAGCATGTAATCCTGGCATACTCTTGCCCACCGGTCATAGAGATATAGTAAGAGCACAGCAACAACAACAAACATTTAATCGTGGCAAACTCTTACTAAGAATCCAGAAACAATCTATGACCTCTAGTAAATTTGAGCAGACAAAAGCACATGATTACCAATTACGATTGCAACAGTTCTGAACTCCGAGGAATTGCAAACAATATCATAAGGGTCAATTTCCACGCCTAAATTGACAAGTCAAAACAGTTCCAGTATATGGAGCGCACCAAACCAGAATCTCATGATCCAACTGGGGTTATCTAATTGCTCGGACACGAGGTTTCACAGAGTATACTGTATTCTCAGAACGAGGCGAGAGGGAGATGAAGCTAGCCATGCCATACCGTGGGCTTCTCGCACCAGGCCTTGTAGGAGACGTCGTCGTTGCTCTTGGAGATGACGTGCTCCCAGCCCCCTCTCTGGCTCGCGCGCGCCCAAGCCCAGACTGCCCACCAGTTGCCTCAGATCGCCCTCCGTCACTAGTCCCTCTATTCTGTCACCAACCAAAGGGAAGACGCAGCACAATCAGAAATCAGTCAACCGCGCCCAGTTCACACGCATTTTTCGATCAGAAAACCCACGGCCGCGAAGGCAGTACGGGGGACCAACCCTGAGGCAGAACCGGGGGGCGTGGAGGCAGGCGCGGGCGCCAGGGCGGCCTCCGGTTGCGCGATTCGGCCTCCGCCGCGGAGGCGGCGGCGGACGAGGAGGACGGCGAGGTGAGAGGCGAGGAGGAGGAGGAGCGCGGCGGCCGTGGCCCAGCCTCCCCCGCGGGCGGCGGCAACGGGCCGCCAGAGGTCGGTGCTGTCTAGCAGCGGCGGCGGTGCCATGGCGCGTCTCGTCGTCACGGCGATCCGGTCCGCGTGACCGCGTCTCTCTGTGTAGCGCCGTGCTGCTCGCTCTCCGCGAGAGCCGCTCGCTCACCGAGAAAATTGCTATTACAGGACGCGAAATAACGGGCTTCGTTATTACAGAACTTCAATTGTCGACTTTGCTAAAATGATATTTGAAACGTTAGCACTCTGTTTTACATGACATTTGGTACTTTTAATCATTTTTCTTATTTCAAATATATATATTTTATCGTAGGATGACCGTATTACCCTTCAGTCATATTCACTTAAGAGTGGGCAGTGGGCAGGTGGGTGGGTGGGCTGCCTGCCGCCGCCGCCGCATGGCCTGCCTGGCTGGCAGGCTTGCCGCCGCCACCGCCTGGGCAGGCTGGAGGCCGGGCGCCCGGGTGTGTCCAAGGCCCAGTTTAGTTCCCTCCCATTTTGCAAATTTTTTTAAGATTTCTCGTCACATCGAATCTTTAGACGCATGTATGAAGCATTAAATATAAATAAAAAATAAAACTAATTATACAGTTTAGACGAAATCCACGAGACGAATCTTTTAATCCTAATTAGACTATGATTGGACACTAATTGTCAAATAACAACGAAAATGCTACCGTGGCATTTTGCCAAAAAATTCGGCATCTAAACAGCCCCCAAGACTGACGGACACTGCTTGCTTCGCGCTCCCCGTTGCGTGGTTAACGTGCTGTGAGGACTCACGACCAGCAGACGTCATGTTCTTCGTGTGCCGGGATATGAGACCATCCAGAGCGGCAGAGAGGCAGTGCGTGCCCGCTGCCTAGCCTGTTGTGGCAAGCTGAGGCGACAAGGAAACAGGCTCTCCACATCAGGGTCAGGGCCACTTCGATCTGATGAGCTATATGCTGTGACACGAAGTAGCTAGTAACGGCTTCTTTTGGAACTTACCTTGGCCGATCGACGATATATCGAGCTACAGCCTACAGCGTAGCACAAACGCCGCCTTCACTGACTTGGGCACTGCATGCAGCTGTGCAGCCGTGGCCAAACGAAATCGTACGTGTAGGTGCACCATATATATCTAATGGATGTACGTGTCAGTTCTATTCGCCGCTGGTATGTATTGGCCCCCCGACCGCTGACGCTGACACAGAGCAACAACCGATCGATCGATGCAATCTGGCAAGAGATAGCTGGATATTGATGATCACGTATGTATATATCTGCACATGACGAGGAGGGAGTGATCGAGTTAGTTGATCGAGCGAGTGCCTCTCCCGATTCGTGGCAACGCAAGTAACATGCATGCATGGGCTCAACTGCTCAAGAGGCATCGATCGAGCCAGCAAGAACGACGTACGACGGGGACGTGTAACCATCGTCCCCTATTCATCTTTATTTGCAGGCACGCGTGCATGCATTCGTGCAGATCATAGCCATATATCTCGCAGCTTGTTATTGTACTGCATGCATTCATATCAAGTAGAGTCGTAGGCAGGCACTGATGGAGTACGTGCGTGCCTTCCACTGCCAGCCAGGCAGGCAGTCACCCCTGTCGCTCGCGCATGAGCTGCACGGCCATTCGGCCAAACAGACGCGCGGGCACATGCTGGTGAGCCACTTGTACTCTGTGTAAAATCCACTGTATCCTTCCGACTGCAAATATTATGAGTAGACACAGTTGCCAATCTTCATCAAGATCAGCTATTCAGATCTCAATTATTTGCTTGCATGAAATGGACCAGCCGCCAGCGACAACGAAACTCAGATCGACATAGTAGTAGTAGGTTTACACAAGGCCCAACTGGGAGCGCTCAGTCTGTAAATTTGAGCAATTTTCTAAAAATGAATATCTCGAAGCTAATCTAAGTGGTCAATAAAATCAACTGCTACTTTAATAAAAGATCAGACAACTTGCGAACAAATGAGCTCATCTCATAAAACCATGATTGTAGCATAAACAAGTTCATCTCGGAAGACCATAATTTAGTTCCAAACGAGATTCAAGTCATATCAAATAAAGCATGAGTTTATATCTCATTATAGCTAAAATAATTCATCCAATGTGTAGCTTTCTCTTCGGAGTCATCTTTTTTTGTGCTGCCGCTGTAGGTATCCTCACGGGACTAGTGGTGTCGGTTTGTGAATATGTGTCCTCTCCTAATAACATCGGAAGCTTGCTGCACATAAATACGATACCACAATTAGATGTATGAAAAGAATTAGTGTACGATAAATGTGTTAATATTCCTTACCTTCTTGTGACCCTTTCTGAACTATTCCGTAGGATTTCTTCTCTAGTCGGGTGCTAGGTTCTGCTGGCGCAGCTTTTGTAACATTCTTCCTAGATTGCCTACGCTTCCTACAAGTAATCAAATAAATTAATATTGACATTTACATTCAAGTTTGTAGGTAAAGAAAATCAGTTTATATCTCTTTTTTGCGGTCCCATTGAGTGGGCACTTGGCACTAGCTTGTCTATGACCATTTTTCCGCATTTTTTGCAAGTCATAGGTCCTCTGATTATTTTCTTTCCCTTTCCATTTGTTGGAGCTGCATCGTTGTCACATCTCTTCTCACCTTCACCATCGTTGGTAAATTCACCATCTTTGGAACCTTTCTTCCTGTGGCCACCTTCCATCCATCCCTTCATTCTTAGTTTCCTTCGTCGTCCAACAGGTAGTTTAGCAAGAGGTGCACCAACTGAAAATGGTAGGTCAACTTGTGGCCATTGTGTTTTATCTGTCATCGGCTCAATCTCTCTTCCATAAGCAGCCCTTAATCTACTGACCGAGTAGTAGTCATGCATAAACTGTTCTAGGTCAACTCCCCGATGGCGGGTTACATAGGCTAATACATGTTGACATGGCTTACCAGTGTGCTGCCATTCAAGACAAGTACATGTTCTTTGGTGTAACTTGATAATATGCCTCTCAACTCGGCTGCTATGGTCCCACACCTCTGCACTCCAATTAGAACATGGTACAATTTCCAAGTGTCCCAAACCTCTAGTATTTGCCTTTAGCTGAACCATAATAGCTGGAAGTATCCTGCCTTCAGGTAGCCTGTATGAAATATTTCTTCCCTTGTTCCAAAGTACCATGACCATTTCTCTGATCTTATCAGCAAGGTCAGCAACAGGTAAGTCTTTATGGTCTCTAATCCAGTTATTAAATGACTCAGCAATATTGCTAGTTATGTAGTCACACTTAATTTCTGAATTGAAACCACACCTATACCATAATAACTTATGATTGGTCTGTAACCATTTCACTGCTTTTGCTGATTCACTTACCATTTTTGCTATATTGTCATAGAATATGTCCTCTCTGTAAGCCCTTGCCGCAGGATATATTTGGCCAAACCCTCTAAATCTCTTCTTGAAATTTCTGACAAGATGATAAAAGCATTCTCTTTGCTCTGTATTTGGGAATACATTCTTCACTGTATTCTCCAAGCCCTTGCAAGCATCAGAACAAACAGCAAGCAGTGGAGGATCACCTATTGCCTTCTTTAATTGTTCCATGAACCAAGTCCAGTTGTCTGTGTTTTCAGAAGCTATGAAGCCATAAGCGAGTGGATACATTCAATTGTGACCATCAACTGCTACAGCTGCGGCCAAGTGACCATTCCACCTTCCATTAAGTGTTGTAGCATCTATGATCAAATGAGGCCTACAACCTTCTAAAAAACCATCAATGTATGGTTTAAGAGCACAGAAAAAACAGTAGAAATATATTTGACCATCCACCTCAAGTACCTCAATCTCAACGACACTCCCGGGGCACCGCTTCATTACCTTGGCCTTCCACCTAAATAATAGCTCAAAACTCTCTTCCCATTTGCCATAAACCTCTTCAAGAGCTCTTTGTTTACCCCGCCATACAGTGTCATATGCAATTTGACACTTGTGATCTGTCTCCAACTTCTTTTGCAATTCCTTAGCACCAATATTTGGATCAGCTCTAAGGATACTCGCAGCCTTGCTAGCTACCCACTTGCAACTTGAAGTTGTAGTTATCTGCCTCATGCTGGACACACACTCGTGCTTATCGACTAAGACGGTTACCTGCAAAATAAAAAATCGATGAGATTGATATTAATTTACATAACAAGTAGAATTAATGAAATAATAAAAAAATTATTCACCTCCACAGTGGCTTGACCTTTTTGTTTAGTGCCATTTATCCTCCAAGGGCAAGGGTAATCTTCATCACCGGACTTGCAAAAAGCCCTATATCTCGTCTTACATGACTTCTCTACTCCTAAATCGAACTCCTTATTGATGGCAAATTGCCGCACTGCCAGCTTGAACTCCTCCATTGTTGGGTACAGTGTTCCTACCTCCATTGATGGGTTGTTCTTATCATATGAAATGACCATCTCACCTGGCACGGCATCACTAGTAGGAATGGCAGCACCATCAGTATCTTGCCCAATCTCATTATCATTCCTCTCTTCATCCATTCGGCAATCAAAGCCTTATGCAGGTATATTTGTTGTGCCCTCCTCTGTCAAACCTAAAAGCTCATAAATCTGCAACTCACTCATAAGTGCAATACGACCTTCGTCATCATGTGTCTCCACTATTTGTATCGTATCCCAATCAACTCTTTCCATATTTTCCACATGATCTATTTGGGACCTAAACAAGGGAAATAAACTGTAACTAATATGTACTACTATCGTGGTAAAAAACAAATAGAAAGCATACAAGCATATATACCTTTGCACTTCAAGAACAGGAAGGTTGCACTCTACTGCCGGAAGAGGAGCAGTTGGAAGCAGCGATCTCGCTAGGGCTAGAGCAGTGGACATGCCTTCTGCCGGCTCGTCCAGACCTTTTGCTGGACCTTCTACTGCCGCGTCCACGCCTTCTGCTGCCAGCGTGGCCATGCCAGGGCCGGCCAACGCCTGAAGACAAATTACAGATGAGTTTAGATATTAAGCATTGTATCCCCAGTCCAATACATATCACCCATCTGGTATGACTACCTGAATTCAGCAGAACA